TCTGAAGCAAGAATTCTTGGGCGACAAGAAGGTAATTATTGTTAAATTACAGACTCTTCGTCGTGATTTTGAAACATTGGCCATGAAAGAAAAAGAATTTGTGCAAGTATTTTTATCTAAGGTGTCTAGAATTATTAATCATACGAAGTCATATGGTGAAAGTGTTAGCAATGTAACTGTTGTGAGTAAGGTTTTGAGGAGCCTAACATCAAAATTCGATCATGTAGTTGCTGCAATTGAAGAGTCTAAGGACTTGTCTACTTATACTTTTGATGAATTAATGAGTTCTCTGTTAGCCCATGAAGCTAGACTGAGCATATCCTATGAAAAGGTTGAGGAGAAGGTTTTTCATGTTAAGGGGGAGTCTTCCTACAAGGGAAAGTCCGAAAATTCTGGAGGCCAGGGACAGAGCAGAGGTGGTCGAGGCCGCGGTGGCGGTAGAGGAAGAGGCCAATTTGGTGATCAACGCCAACACAAAAGCACCATCCAATGTCGATATTGCAAGAAATTGGGTCACAAAGAAGTAGATTGTTGGACCAAGCAGAAAGATGAGCAGAAACAAGCCAATTTTACAGAAAAAGTTGAAGAGGAGAGCAAGCTATTCATGGCTCATTCTCCTATTGATAATGCTTCCAATGGAGTTTGGTTTCTGGACAGTGGATGCTCCAACCATATGTCCGGAACAAAGTCTCTTTTTAAAGAACTTGATGAGTCACAGAAAAGTGAAGTTCGACTCGGAGACAACAAGCAAATGCAAGTTGAAGGGAAATGTACAATTGCCATCAAAACCTCACAAGATAATGTAAAACTTCTCTATGATGTGCAATATGTTCCTAATTTAGCTCATAATTTGTTGAGTGTTGGACAATTGATGGATGGTGGATACTCTATTTTGTTTGATGATGGTTGTTGTTCTGTCCAAGATAAGAAAACAGGGCACAAAATAGTTAGCATTCCTATGGCACAAAATAAAATGTTTCCGTTAGAAGTCTTTGAAGTGAGAAATTGTGCCTTGATTGCTAGAGCTAGTGATGCAAAAATATGGCATTTGCGTTATGGGCATTTAAATGTGAAAGGGCTGAAATTGTTGGCTCAAAAAGATATGGTTGTTGGGTTGCCAAAAATTGATGATCTTGATTTTTGTGAAGGTTGTGCCTATGGAAAACAAAGTAGAAATTCATTTCCTGTAGACAAGTCATGGAGGGCTTCTGATTGTTTTGAATTGGTACATGCTGATGTGTGTGGACCAATGAGTATTGAATCATTTGGTGGAAGCAAATATTTTTTGTTATTTACTGATGATTACAGCCGCATGAGTTGAGTGTATTTCTTGAAATTCAAATCAGAAACTTTTGAAACTTTCAAGAAATTCAAAGCATTAGTAGAGAAACAAAGTGGGCATTGTATAAAGGCGCTCCGTTCTGATAGGGGTGGTGAATTTACCTCTAATGAATTTAATGTTTTATGTGAGGAAAATGGCATTCATAGGGAGTTGACGACACTGTACACATCGGAGCAAAATGATGTGATTGAGCGGAAGAATCGAACGGTGGTTGAAATGGCAAGAAGCATGATGAAAGCAAGTGGTGTTCCAAATCAGTTCTGGGCAGAAGCAGTGGCAATAGCAGTTTATCTTCTCAATATCTCACCTACAAAGGCTGTCATGAACCGGGCCCCATATGAAACTTGGAAGGGCAAGAAGCCACGGGTAAGCCACTTAAAAATTTTTGGTTGTATAGCCTATGCCTTGGTTACTTCTCCAACCCGCAACAAACTTGATGAAAAATAAAAAAAATGCATTTTTGTTGGCTATAGCCCTCAATCCAAAGCATATAGGTTGTATAACCCTGTGGGTGGCAAAGTAATTATTAGCAGGGATGTTAAGTTCAATGAAGAAGAAACTTGGGCCTGGAACAACGACAATGCAACACCTACAACAACACAAGTTACAGAAGATGCTAGTATAACTCCTGTGACAGAACCTCCAGAACCAGCTAGTCCATATGCTGGTAGCAGCAGCTCAACCATTTACTCATCTCCCCCCAGCAATAGTAGCGCATCTACTCCAACAAGCTTGCAGTCCTCATCTTCAAGTTCCTCTAGTGAAACACCTCCAAGAAAATTCAGATCATTAAGGGATATTTATGCTTCATGTAGTTTTGCTTTGTATGTTTCTAACCCCACTTGTTATGATGAAGTTACAGAAAGTCAAGTTTAGTAGGACGCAATGAAAGAAGAGATGTCGGCTATTGAAAGAAATGAAACTTGGGAATTGATCAATCTACCAGAAGGCAAGAATGTTATTGGGCTCAAGTGGGTGTACAAAATAAAGTATCATGTTGATGGTACTATACAGAAACACAAAGCTCGGTTGGTGGCGAAAGGGTACTCTCAGCAGCAAGGTGTTGACTTCAAAAAAACCTTTTCTTCGGCTGCTTGCTTTGAAACGGTGATAACCTTTCTAGCCTTGGTTGTACAATTAAATTGGGTTGTGTACCAGTTTAATGTTAAATCCGCCTTTTTGAATGGAGAACTAGATGAAGAGGTGTATGTTTCTCAACCTGAAGGTTTTGTTAGTGGTGATGACAACAAAGTTTACAGGTTAAAGAAGGCTTTATATGGCCTAAAGCAAGCCTCACGAGCATGGTACAACAAGATAGACTCCTACTTTTAGGAGAATGGATTTGAAAGGAGCAAAAATGAGCCAACGTTTTATGTGAAGAAACGAGGTAAATCTGAATTTTTGGTGGTGTGTCTTTATGTTGATGACATAATTTATATGGGATCTTGTGAGTCTCTTGTTGAGGAATTTAAGTCTTGCATGATGAAAAAATTTGAGATGTTAGATTTGGGTTTGTTGCATTATTTTCTTGGTTTGGAGGTGAACCAAAGTGCAGATGGGATTTTTATTTCCCAAAGGAAATATGCTAATGATTTGTTGAAAATGTTCAATATGTTAAACTGCAAAGCAGCTCCAACTCCCATGAATGTGAATGAGACACTCATAACTAATGATGGCTCTAGAATGGCGAGTGCGAGGTATTTCAGAAGTATGGTTGGCGGTTTGAACTACTTGTCTCACACAAGGCCTGATATAGCATTCCCTGTTAGCGTTGTCTCTAGGTTTATGCATAGCCCAACAATGCATCACCTCGGGGCAGCAAAGAGGATCCTTCGTTATGTTGCTGGAATTGTTGATTTTGGAATTTGGTACTCAAAAGTATCAGATTTCAAACTTCTGGGTTTTACTGACAGTGACTGGGCAGGTTGCTTGGATGATAGAAAAAGCACTTCCGGCTATGTTTTCTCCCTTGGTTCGGGTGCTATTTCATGGAGTTCAAAGAAGCAAGATATCGTGGCCTTGTCATCATCAGAAGCAGATTAGGTCATTGCAACAACATCAATTTGTCAAGCAATTTGGCTAAGGAGATTGTTAGCTGATTTTTGCCAAGTTCAAGAAGGTGCAACTCAAGTGTTTTGTGACAACAAGGCAACCATTGCTATGGCGAAAAATCCAGTTTTCCACAGTAGAACAAAGCACATTGACATTCGCTATCATTTCATCCGAAATCTGGTTGCTGAAGGAACAATAGCAATGAAGCATTGTGGGACCAATGAGCAAGTAGCTGATGTTCTGACCAAGTCACTACCACGTGGCAAACACGAGTACTTCAGACTGCAGATGGGAGTAACAAGCTTTGAAGCAAGGGGGAGTGTTGATAGTGCTTCAAACTAAGTGGACGTAGTGGGTGATTTACTTCCTAAATGTTAGGCACTATGATAGTGCTTCAAACTAAGTGAACGTAGTGNTAAGTGGACGTAGTGGGTGATTTACTTCCTAAATGTTAGGCACTATGATAGTGCTTCAAACTAAGTGAACGTAGTGGGTGATTTACTTCCTAATTTTTAGACATTATGTTACTAGACTTAGTGGGTGAGTTACTTCCAAATTGTTAGGCACTATTTTGAGTTAGTGAGCCATGTTTATCCACTTTCTAATTTAGTTGCTTATTTTTAGCTAAGGTTAGTTCAGCTGTAAGTCTATATATATTTGGACCTCTGATGTTGTTTTTTGAATGAAGAGAATTGAATTCGAAGTCGCTTTGTTTTCAAAACAAAAATTTCTGTTCTTTTCCCAACAAGTATGTTGAATATACAAGTATATGTGGTTATCCTAAATTGAACTAAGTCAATGCAATTGAATCTGCTCCATGGGTTCTTCGTTTCCATATTGCATTTGGATTTGGACTTTGGTAGGGGTGTTCACGGGTTGGGTTGGGTCAGTTTGAGTCATTTTCTTCAACCGACCCGACCTAGTCAGTTTACTTATTGACTAAATCGAAACCAACCCTGAAATACCTAAATCTAAATATCTATTTATATTTAGTTTATTTCTTTTTAGTTTTTATGCAAAACCAAAATATATATTTAAATCAATTAGTTTTTTAGGCAAAACTGATTTTTTTGTCTCTCTCTCTCTCTATATATATATATAAATTTATATAAAACTGAATTAAATATTGTACCGTTGTATTATATTTGTATTTGTTTTATGCTTTTAGCTTTTATCATAAATAACCATTTTTTTCAAAGTTCAAACAAAACACGAATAAAATATATCAACATTTAACATTATACGGTAGGGACTAATTACTAATTACTTAAACATATAGGAACGGTTTGGTTTGGTTTCCGAACCGAATTGTTGGTTTATTTTCTCACACAAACTGAAACCCACTGATGGTTTTGAAAAACTGACCAACTCGAGTTGGGTTGGGCCAGTTTGGTAGGTTTGGTTGGTTTGACATTTAATGTGAACACCCCTAGATTTTGGAATTCCATTTACGATATCAATAAAGGTGCTTTCATTGTACTTTGTAGCAAGAGCCAACTTTATAGGACTGCTTTAAGAAGATAATGACATGAGGTTGCTTCAAATTTGACTTTTCTCTCTGTGTTCCACTTATTCTTAAAATCATTTCCTGTTAAACTTCATGCAGACTTCTCTTCCAATTGATGAGATTACTAAGACCTTGTCAAAGAGGGGCTACGAGGTGGTGGCCTCTGATGATGCAGGCCGGTTTGTATGCAACTATGTTTATTATCACTCTCTCTGGTTCGCAGAGCAGCATGGTACCAAATCTCTCTTTGTGCATGTTCCTCTCTTCCAGACTATAGATGAGGAGACACAAATGCAATTTGCAGCTTCCTTGTTGGAGGTACTTGCATCTTTGCAGTAACATCAGCTGAAATATTTTCTGCATAAGGGTGAAAAATTGTTGTGTTGTGAAGTTAAAAATAGAGGAATTTGGATGATGGAAGGTTGAAGGAGAAAAGTATATATTTCGATTATGTATTTTCTTTATTTCTGATCATAAAAGTGTCCCAATACCAATTACCAATGTGTAGTCCATTTGCTTCAAGTATGAAAGTAATAATCCATGTAGACACACATGATTGACTGGTAGCATGCAAATGCATCGCCAATGATGTAGTTAGTGAATTAGTACGACGGCTCTATTTCTAAATATTGGACTTCTATGCCAGGGTGGATGATATGTCCCAACTGGTTTGTATTTGTAACCCTAATATAGTATTCCCATTTCCCAGTAAACAGATAAACGTGTTTGTGGGTTCATTAATTCCTTGTCATACACTTATTGTATATTAGGGTGTGGGCCATTCTTCTCAAGTTGCAAGCAATATGCATGTACGTATTGCAATCCAGATTTCCCACTAACCCATTTAAACAATGTCACCTGTCTCTAAACATGTTTTAGAATCCTGCTTGATGCGAGCTTGGATTGGTGGTGAGAGGATCGCCTGGAACGTCATCTTGCCACACAGTGATCCTGGGTTGGGTCTATGATTCATCTACCGAGGAAATTGGTCATGCTCATTGACCATGGGCTGGCTATACAAATCAATCCCTTCTATTCCTAATTGGTCTTACAGGAATGGTTATACAAAAGTCAAAAACTGTGATAATTGGAAGCAATGAATAAGTCGGCTACAGAAAAATGCAGAAACAGTAGTATTGCCATCAGCATCCCCGACGTTTACAAACTTATCGGGGTTACTCATTAAATCCAGCAGCTGCTCCAACACATTCAAGCGCCCATGCTTGACACAGAAGTGCAGAATGGTCTCACCACGACCAACAAGTTGAAGAACCGTTCCAGGTTTCTCCATAACTAGCTCTTTAATGGCATCCACTTGGCCTTCAATTGCTGCTAGATGGAGAGGAATCATTCCATCTGTATCGTGAGCAAGGCAGAGGCCAGGGCCAGAATCTTGATCCAGCAAAGCTTTCACGATTTCAAGGTGCCCTCTTGCTGTTGCCAAGTGAAGCGGAGTATGTCCTCGTGGGTCTTTGAGGCGAGCAAGTTCAAGCTTGTGGCTCAAGAGCAGTTTAACAAAATCAATGTGACCGCGGGTTGCTGCTATGTGCAAAGGAGACTCTCTGATGCAACCCACAACCACTCTATCAAGAATTAGATTGTCTTTTTCAAGCAAATCGGACAAGGACTCTGCATTCCCTTGCAATGCTGCTTCACGAAGCTGTCTCTCCATTTTCATGCTTTCAGGAAGCCCTTCCCCCATTCTCTGGTTCTTGCTCTTGCTCTCAAGAAGCTGCGTGGATCTCCATTAATATTCCATTGCTCTCTGTTGTTCTTGCTCTTTCCTCTTCATTTGGGATAATCGGCAATGAACTGGTTTGCCTTGTTTCAGTTGCAGACAAGAAAACAGAGTAGTAGTGTCTATACTCGATTGAGTGTCTATACTCGATTGAGTTAAGTATGAAAGCGTGTTATGGGCCCACGCGTAGGATCTAGTCACGGGTCGATCCATCGGGAGAGACTCCTGTCTTTCCTTGCCCTTGCCCTTGCGTACAGACCCTATGGTGGCAATCACGTGGGTGATTTGTCCAAGAGATCACCCGAACTCTCCTAGTGGGTGATTTGTCCAAGAGATCACCTGAACTTTCCTTACTCTCCTTCTTGACTGCGAAAAACTGAATGCTTTATTTCAATTCGTGGCTCCTTAAATAGGAGATTACAGAAGGAAATTYCTAATTAAACTCAAACTCCAACTTGAATTCAAACTCCTAATTACCTACTCCTATTGGTAACACACTTTTACTTAAGATAAGATAAGGATAAGATAAGATAAGATAAGGGATAAGGGATAAGGTAAGCTGGCGGTGAGTTGGCGGGTAGAGCTGATGTGGTAAGATAAGTGTGGGTCCGGCCTGGTGAGCTGTCATGTGGGCCCCGCCCTATTGCTGCTGCCGGACGGTGCGCGCGTCTCGCGGTGCTGCTGCTGTGCGGTGCGTACTGCTGCCGTGAGGTGCGTGCTGCTGCCGTGAGGTGTGTGCTGCTGCCGTGCGTTGCGTGCTGTGTGCTGCCAGGCGGTGCATGCTGCGTGCTGTCGGGCGGTGCGTACTGCCGTGCGGCGCTGCC